GGCCTCAATGGTACTCTAGTGTGTTTTCACCATACTAAACGGTGTTGGTTTAGCGAAAAAGGACGTCCTATATTATTAGAGAAGTCCTATATAAAGTCTTTTTTCAAATCCTATATTTTCAGGAAGGGCCGGTACGAACCTAGCAGTAGTCCCATAGATTTCATTCCGGAAGAAAAGGATTCAACTATTAAACATATCGTATTGCCTCTTATGAATTTACGATCCAAGGATAAAAAAGAAACCACGCACCTTCAAGACGAACTAACTATTCGTTTTCTCACAGCATTGTTGGTTGATTACGAAAAACAATGGTATCTTGGAATGATTCGGCGACGAACACTCTACATTCTGATTAAATCAGTCGAAAAAGCCAAACATCAACATTCACTTAAACTTCATTGGAAATTGATTGTTGAACATTTTCGATTATCGAACTGGCTGCAAAATCTAATGCGACTCGATTGTGTCAAGTGGATTAACAAACAGTCGAATAAATTATTATTTGATCATATCTTTCTCACCATTGAACTGACTCTCGGTAAGTGATACAATAAGAAAATGTTCTTTTCGTTTTGTTTGATTTTCTTGAAATATTATTTCTTTATCGAGTAGCTTTCCATTCAACTCAAACTCGTATGGATAATATTCGAAAGCAATTTCCAGAATTAGCTAATATTGATAAAAGAATTTGGAATAAAGTTTATGAAGAAATCCATTTCTACCATCTCACTGCTACCTACATTCTTCTCGATCTACAACAATCCTATGAAGCTTGTTGGCGAATTCATATGACAAAACGATGTGCTCAAATGTTACTCAAATACGAATCGAAGACGATCACTGAACTTTATGAAACGGGAATGCTTGGCCACAGCGTATATTCACATATATTGGAATTAATCGAAAAGAAATCGTTGAAACTGGAATTTTATCGTGTCTCTATGGTTAAGGGTTATTTGACAGCTATTGAAAATCCTTTTGACTTATTGCCACTCTTTCGATCATTACCTAATCTTGAAAAAACACGTTGGCAAATGATTATGAAAGCAAACCATCGATGGTTTCAACCGGATCAAATTCTTCTTGAAAAAGATCAAAGAGTATCGACTGCGTATCTTATCACTCGAGGTATTGTTGAATGTAAAATAGATACAATGCCCATATATTACCGATTGGGCAATATTATCGGTATCGATGCTTTATTTTCACAAGACTTTCTAGCACATGATACTTATCGTGTCAGCGGTGGACTTTTGGAAGCTTATTGTATCGATGGTATATTATTGAATCAATTTTTAAAAGATGAAAATTTAGCTCCTTCCATCTATCGAGAAATTGCTCTACATGTCTTGAGTAATAATTATGAGACACGTTTGAAACTGAATCGTTTACAACTACGATTACTTGTGCACAAGAGAGCGAAATTCTATTGGAATGAATCGGATATATTGATTCAATTGAAAGAGAATCAACGACTATTTATTCTTGCTGGATATGTTACTCATTTGTTCAATGGTCAAAACAATAAATATGAGTCAATTCAACTGCAAATCTTTGATACCGAAGCCGAAATTCTTCTTAATTCGTCGACTGTGGCCTATTCATGGACGGATGAAGATGAGGATTTTTCTATCAAAGATACTAATCCTACAGTTCATTTTCCATTGCAAACCTATGATTTACTCTCCAATGATCTACTTTATCCGGGATATCTGAGTCAAGTCACACAATTTCCAAAACGACAACGTTCAGAATCATTATTGGATGATGGAATACACTCCAGCGATGTATAATTTAATATTTTATAAGCATGATCTTTTTTACCGTTTTGTTACTTTGCAAAAATAGTTATAACCACAGTGAAAGACATTTTAACAAGACGCATCATAGACTCAAGTTATGTCTCTCATATTATACTTACACAAACCTAGTGAATGTACTCAAGTGTGAGTACTCAAAAGTACTCTGGTAGAAAAACCAGACGAGTACTCATACGTACTCATACATTTTTTTACTCACCTGAGTACTCATGAGTGAGTAACAAGTACTCTGACTACGACTATGAGTACTCATGCTTGGGTATTGTTGAGTACTCATATCACTTTCGGCAAAATACTCATGAGTATTGTTCATCTGATATTTTCACATAGAGGAGTGATCTCAGGTAGCCAGAGTAGGACTACAAGTCTAGTCATAGACAAGTCTATCTCTGACT